GAGGGCTGACATCCTGGTGAGGATCTGTTACAGACAACCTAACCAGGATGAATAAATGGATGAGGGCTTCTGTGAGTGGCTGGCAGAAGTCATGCAATCACCAGCCCTAGTTCTCATGGGGGACTTCAACTTCCCTGATAGATGCTAGAAATATAATACAGCCCAGAGGAAAGAGCCTAGGAGGTTCATGGAGTTTGTGGAAGCTGGTATGTGAGCCTACTAGGAGAAGTGACCCATTAGACCTGCTGTTCATAAATTGAGAAGGACGGTGGGAGGTGTGGAGGTCAGGAGCTATCTTGGACAGCATGACCACAAAATGGCAGTGTTCTCAATCCTTGGTGAAGTCAGGAGGGCGGTCAGCAAAACTGCTGCCTTGGATTTCCAGAGGGCTGACTTTTAACTCTTCAGGACACAAGTAGGGAAAATCCCTTGGGATTCAGTCCCAAAGGGGTCCAGGAAGGCTGTATACTCCTCAAGAGGGAAGTCTTACAGGTGCAGGCTGTGCCACAAGATGAGCCAGTGGGGAAGAAGACCAGTGTGAATGAACAGGGAACTTTGACTGAGACTCTGGGAGGAAAAGAGTCTACCTCCTGTGGAAGAAAGGATGGGCAACTCAGGAAGGATCCAGATGGGATCCACCCAAGGATGCTGAGGGAGCTGGCAGAGGTCATAGCCAAGCCACTTTCCACCATCTATCAGAGTTCCTGGCCAACCGGAGAGGTCCCAGAGTTTTGGAGGCTTGTCCATGTGACTCCTATCTACAAGAAGGATCATAAGGATGATCAAGGGCCTATCAGTTTGGCCTTGGTGCCTGGGAAGGTTATGCAGCAGATCATCTTGAGTGAGATCATCTGGCATGTGCAGGACAACCAGGGGTCAGGCCCAGCCAGTATGGGTTCATGAAAGGCAGGTTCCGTTTGACCAACCTCTTCTCCTTCTATGATCAGGTGACCAGCTTAGAGGATAAGGGAAAGGCTGTTGACATAGTCTACCTAGACTTCAGCAAAGCCTTTGACTGTGTCTCCCAGGATATTCTACTGGAGAAGCATTGTGCTAGGTGTCAGATCTCTATTTGAGTAAGAGAAATCTTATGTGCCTTTTCATCCTTTACATCACCAGAGAAATTTATAGACACCTATTTCTCTGGGCAAGCTTTTTACGATTAAGAAAAAATAACTAAAAAACCCAGTTTTCCTGGGTATTAAAATAGTGATCTCAGCTGGCATCATAGAAAATACATAGCACTCTCTGTGGCCTTGGTGTGATTTGAAACCATCATCTAGAGCATATGCAGTGCAATCTCCTTAAAATCATAGTAGCTCTGATCCCTGCCAGAGACAGTTCAACAGCCAAAATGATTTTTGATCTGAACCAAAATAGTCATCCTTAGATTCTTAAAAGGAAGCAACAGAAGATGATGAAAATGTGGAAGCTTCTTCAGCACTGCCTGTAGGACTCTGTATTGGTGCCAAGCCTTACTCAGTTTGGAGTGAAACATTCAGCTTTATTCTAACTATTAGCTGTCCTGGCCTGCTGATATTTGCAAAGATTCTATTTCTTTCACAGTTTGCATTTTAGCTTGTTTCAATACTTTTTTTTTTAAAAATGTTGTGGTATAGTTAACAGCTGCGCATTTCAGATAAGTACAGCAGGCATTTTTAAACTGTCTTTGAATAGGTCTGTCTGGTAAAGAAAAAAATACCCATGAAATAATGAGGAAGTGCAGGAATACTGCATTCTGACCATCAAAGGGGTCTGCACACACTTTTCCATGTGGTGTGCATACTGCACAGGAAACAATTCATGATATGGCAGCATACTTGCATTATTCCCGGTACTTACAGTGAGTGAAAAGAAGAATGGAATCTCTAAATAAAAAACAGAATGGTAAGTTTGTGCTGGTAATTTTTCTACTCTGTTCATAACTTCATAGGATGAGAAAATTTTCAAATTGACAAACTATTTTCTATCAGTGATTTTAGTCTTGGTATAATTGTGAATATTTCATGCAGTTACATTTCTTTTGAGGAAGATTAAGTTTTTTTTTATTTGTTTGTTTGTTTTTTTAAATGAAAATTGGTTTCTGGTTTGGGCTTGCTTCAGTGAGTTAACCAGGTCCCTTACTTAGGCTTCCAGGAAGTCAGCTCAATTCCTTGGGCACTTCACTAAAACATGTGCCTTGGAAAACTGGGCTTCTAAAGATAAAATAAGGCTTTAAAGACTGGATTACTGGTTTTCTTGGAATGGCTAAGAAATTCATACAGTAAGCTTTTTTGTCTGGCAGCTGAACTGGCAAGAGAAGACTGTGCCCATCAGGTCTCACTGGTGGCAAGTCCAGTGTTGGAGATGAGCTTATTTTAAACATAAGGGAATTAGTCCAGCTTCCATTTAAATCACTGGCAAAACTCCAGCTATTTTTAACAAGAGAAGAGCTGAGGCAACAGGCATACAAAGCCCTGATCCCAGACTTGATCCCAGCTTTTCTTATACATCCACAGCTCATGCTGAGTATTGTGGTCACTTTAGCAGGATTAAGAGTGAGCAGACTGTTTGGGCAGATTTATATCGCAATTCTTTGTAAGAAATACCGATATTGTCCTTAATAAGTAATAAGTAGTCAGTTGGCAAGGTAAACTGTCACAGTTCCAAGCCAATTGATGAAGTATAATAATGTCATGTACAATTGGTTAAGCACCTCTTCTGTTGTTTCTAGTCATTTTACCAAAACCTATATCCTGAATTTAAAAAAAAAAGTGCAGGGATCTATATATTTTTTTCAAAGGGGGGGGGGGGGG